AGACAAATGTTACGGGGTTATTTTTTTTTTTTTTAAAGGAGAGGGGACCGCTGTATATTCCGGGGGGGCCTGAGTCCAGAGACGTTTTTCCCCCCAAAAACAAAAAAAAAAAAACGAGAAAATTTTTTTTCTGTAAAGCGAAAATCCACAAAGCCCCTTTAAAAACGACCTTGTTGAGAAAAAATTAACAATATCTAACAACCTCCACCACCCCCCTTTAACCCAGGGTTGGAAGAACCTTCCCCCCAACCCTCCTGAAGAATTTTTTCCCCTCCGCCCCATAGAAACCCCTCGGAATCTTTTTAAAATCCTGATTTCTGGGCCTCATCCTCCAGAAATTCTGTTTCTTTGTTACTAATGTTGTGGCCCCACCCCATAACACAGAAACAGAATTTCCGGAGGATGAGGCCCAGAAATCAGGATTTTAAAAAGATTCCCAGGTGATTCTAATGTGCAGCCAAGGTTGAGAACCACTGCCCTAGAGTCTTCGGAGGGAGCATGGCCCTGCCAACACCTCGATTTCACACTTCTGGCTTCCAGAACTGTGAGAAAATAAATTTCTATTGTTTTAAACCACATACGTGTAATTTATTACAGCAGTTCTGAGAGGCTAATGCACCCTCCTTAGGAAACTAAATTCTTGGAAATCTTTCTTTTGGTTTATTGCTCATGTATATCAAAGCCCTTCCCCTCAAACTGGAAACATATGATAGTATACAACCTCTTTTATGAAACAAACCTTGGAATATCAACAAGTTGAGATAACATCTCGGATATTTAAGTAGGTATCTAAATATGGAAAGCGGGCCAACGTAAAAGCTGGAAGTTCAAAAATGAATAAAACAATTTTTTTTGCCATGTTGCTAACTTACCTCATCCACCACTTTGGAGAAGTAGTGAAGTGTAGAAATTACTTCTTCATCGCCTTTGCCAAGAGCAAAATTCTAAGACCAAAGAATAAGAGAGCCAGGTATTATGGAATGCTTGGGAACTCAGCACCACGGCCTCACCCACCACACATACCCTCCACACCAACTTCCTTTCTTCTTCCAAGAGCAGGGCACGCTAGAGCGTCTAGCACACAACTGCCCCTCCCAAACTATTCCTTCGTTGGCCATCACCCTCTGTTCAGACATCATGGTATCTGCATTTATTTCCTGGAATTGTTAGTGTCAATTCATTTGTAGTCTCTCAGGGACCATGAACCCTCCCTCAAGGGCAGCTGATTAATTCTGTAGGCTAGTGAGAAGGCATCATACAGACTCTAAGATAATCACCAGTGAGAATTTATCAGGGGAAAGGAAAAGGCAAGAAAAAATGGAAATGGATTATGGAAAAAAAGAGAGGGAAAGGGGGAAGGAGGATAGAAGGTCTCTTAAAAAAGCCTTTGGAGAATTTCTTTTAAAGAACTCCAGTTAAGAAAGTCCTGAGCACAACATCACATGCCATATAAGTATCAAGTTACCTGTTTCTCATATGCCAGGAGCTGCTTAGAAAGCTGTTGTGTGGCCAGGCACATTTCATTCTGCGGAGAAGAGAAAAGCAAGTAAGACTTGTCCAATGTGTATACAGGCACTGAAAAATGGCACCTCAGAGAATTCCTTTAAAATATGTGTGTAAAATAATTATTTTGCTCAGAAATTATTTGTAGAATAAAAGGTTAAAGCTTGTGCCCCGCCCCAACCATTTACAAAGTATTGCTCCTGGTTACTGAGTCAATAAACAAATGTAAGGAACGATTATAACAGGGTCAACAAAGACATGGTCCCTGTCCTCCCACAGGGCTTACTGGGAAAGCAGACATCAAAAAAATAGTTGTAAGCATAATGAGAACAGCAAAGGGAATACTGGATGCATTAGGGGGTTCTGACAGGAAGAGCCGGAGGGTCTGTAAGGAAGAGATGCTTTAAGCAGACCCTGACGAAAGACTGGGAGTGAGCCATGGGGACAGCTTTCCAGGAGGGACTCTCCTGTGGGAAAAGCGTACAGCCTGTTGGAAGAGCTATAAAGGGAGAGGAGTGGAGTAAGGGGTACAGGGCACGGAGGCAGGATGAGGCTGGCAGGGCAGGCAGAGCTAGGGCACGCAGGACACGGTGGCCCAGATTCAGACTTCATTCTAGGTGCAATGGGGATTTCAGCAGCACCAGGACATGATCCGATCCTACCCAACAGCACTGGGTCGGTAATGATGGATTGTAACACAGAAGCACGGCTGCAAAGCCGGGGAGGCCCATTTTGTGCCAATTTTCACTGTCCATTTTCCTCTTCTCTTACTCATCCCTCTAATCTCTGGCTCCACAGCAGTTTTCTGTAACTATCCCCACCACCAATGCATCCAGCCTAGAAAACGTGTCTTATGTTTCCCAAGCTCGGTTAAAGCTTCTCTTTAGATTCACGGCTTATCCCTAACAGAAGGGCAGAGCCACCAGGTCTGGCCTGGAGGAGATGGAGGTGGGGAGAGGAGGGGCCGGCCTGCCTTGGCCTTGGTTCTCCTGAGTTTGCTGTTCCATTAGGGGCAAGGCCTCAGTTCTGCAGAGACTTTTCTATTTTTCACGGTCCTTCTTTGCAAGACCCAGCAGAGCCTCATCCTCCTTTTTTGGACCCTCTTTACAGCCAGCTGGCTAACCCTTTCCCTGACTTCCTTCAGTTGCTCCAAGGAACAGGCATTAATGGACCCTGAAATGTGGCACTCTCCCATTTTCCCCCAAAAAAAGCCAAGCAAACATAATGAAAGTTCCTGGCTTTGGCATCCTACTGGGGTGCTACCCCTTTTAAAACCAGCCAGAGCTGGCAGCCAGGAGGAAGGCCAGTGACCGGTCCACAAGCACTGTGTCAGCATCCAGACAGGGACGTGCAGCAGTTCCCAGCACACAGCAGGCACTCAACAAATGTTTGGTGAATGCATGAACAAGTTTAGAAGACTCATCTGAATTCTAAGTTTAAAACAATACCAGGAAATCATGGTGTCAGGGAGGAAAATACTTCCTAATCCTACAAGGAAACGTCACAAATGACTGGACAAGGATGAAGCAACAGCCAGAAGACAGCCCATCTTCAGCAGTGTTGTTTTGAAGATCAGAGTGCATGGGAACAGGGTCTTAGCCCAGCCACTGGGCTAATTCTCAGCTACATCAGAGACTCTCTTACTCCTCTGAATTAGTAGCAATGGGTTTAAAATGGATTTGTTCAAGCTCCCTTGGCATCTGCCTGGGGCAGCACTTCATAGACCCACAGAATCACCCTAATAGCAGCAGCTAACATTTACAATTAATTTACAATTAATTCATGCCAGAAGCCACCCTAAGCGCATTCCAGGCCTTAGCTCATTTAATTCTCACAACCCTGTAAGGCAGGTTCTAATTATTAACTCAGTTTTACAGGTGAAGAAACAGGCACAGAGAGGTTAAGCCACCTGTCCAAGGCCACACAGCCAGTCAGCAGCTGGGCTGGGATATGAATCCAAGTTTGCCTGATGCTTAAACAGTACTCTCTAAAATCCCAAGTCCTGCTAAGAGATAGTAGAGAAGATCTCTGCTTTAGGCTAGAGTTGACAAACTTTTCCTGCAAAGGGACAGATAGTAATTATTTTTGGCTTGTGAGATACATGGTCTCTGTCACAACTGCTCAACTCTGCGGTTGTCGCATGAAAGCAGCCAAACCAACAACATAAATGAATGAGTGTAACTTCATTCCAAAAACACTCTACTTACCAAAATAAAAAATAATAATAAAAATAGGACAGGATATTGCTGATCCTGCTTTAGACAGTAAATGTCTCAGAAGGCCCACCTCTCGGCCACCGCTCCCTCAGCAGGCTCTCCTTTAAGCTACACTATTTCAGATTCAAGAATCATTTTCTATTCTTCTAACTCATTCTTTTTTTATTTTATTTTTTTATTTTGGCTAAGTCTAAAATATCACTCCCTCATATCTGTATCCTTTACAGACTGGCCAACAGAGATGATGCCACCCTCCCTGCCTTCAAAACAAGCAAGGGCTACGGGCTGCTTGAATTCTTCTCTTCTTTCGAGCTTTCTGGTAAGCGCTGCAAATGTAATGGAAAAACTGGCCAGGCAGCTGCCAGCATCAGACTGCACCCAGGCTACAAGAGAGCATGTGTGTGTTGCTCACACGCCCGCCGCAGCATAGGGAAGCGGGGCACGACACACAACAGCTGCTCTCCAACACCGTGTCCAGTGGACTCTGCCACGTCTCCCCTAGAAATCCCGTATGAAGACGCTGTATATTTTCATGTGTGTGACTTCAGGCAGCAAGATTCTGTTCTATCAGCACAATTTCACTGGGAATAAGCCAGAAGCACAAAATGGTCCGTCACGCATCCTGAAAAGAAACAAACCTTCCCTGTACAGAGCACCTTACAAGACCAGCTGTAACCTGACTCACCTTACTGTACTGTAGACAAAGGTTTATGAAATGTTTACCATCATCAGCTAATTAACCCACACCCTGTCAGGTAAGCCCGCACAATTATCTCTGCAGCAAGACTTGCAAAACGAGCTTGAGTAAAGAGTAAATATTGGTAATCATCATAATAAAGATGGCTGCTAACATTTACTGAGTTCTTCCTAGTACGTGGCATTGCTGTCAAATGTTTTTCATATATGATCACATTATATCCTAACAATGCATCTACGAGGTAGAGAGGGACTATCAGAAAGGACAGCTTTCTAAAATCACACAACTTGTAACTGGCCAGGCAAAGACTTAAGTCAGACCTGGCAGACTCAAAACCCAAAGCCCAAGTTCTTAACACCATGCTATTCTAACCCCAAACCCCACACGGCAGCTAGTTAGTACTCAGCGGGCAGGCCCCTGAAGGGCCTGTGATAGGAACATAGATCCCACACTGTTCTAGCTGTGGTCCAACAAAAGAGGTGGCCTCTTAGATCCTGAATGGGTTTGAGAGTCAGGTTCTTTCGATGCTCTGCAACAGCAATCTGCTTACTACCTGTGTTCCTTGCTGCCTCCTAAGAATCCTTTAAAAAGGTGACCCGGTGAAGGGTTTACTGACAGGATCTCCTGTTAAACAGAACTTCCCAAGGCTGTCGCCAAGGCAGGAAGACCAGCGACTGGCAACCCCGAAAGGAAAACCGAGCTTTTGGCAAAGGAGTGTTTACCTTACGGTGGCACAGAGCGCTTCCCAACTGCAAAGGCCACCTGAAAGCCCCCAAGCCTCTGCGGACGCGCCACCCATGCTGAGTGTGAGGGAGAGGATGGGAGCAGGGGCAGAGGAAACCCACTACAGTCAGCCACAATGGAGGCATCTGCTTTGACCTATTCCAAGTGTGTGGCCATAATGTTGCCTCCAGCCAAGGGGCTGACAGTCCCATGTGCCAGTGCGTACCCCAGAGCTGGGGTCAGGGCTCGCTCTAGCTCAGGAGACCTTGGGGTGGGAGGCACATGGGAGGAGGGGGAGTGCCGCAGGAACGGAGGCAGAAAGCTGAGTTTGGGGCAGGCTTTGATTCTGGAGGCAACAGGGAAGCCCTGAGGGAGTTGGGCAAGAGAATGACAGGATCGGACATGAGCAGAAGAAAAATCAGGAGTGGCTGTGGCAGAAGGAAACACTGAAGGGGACATGGCACGAGGGTCAGGAGACCACCTGAAGAAGTCAAGTGAGAGATACAAACGTCTGAGCCCGAACCAGAAGGAGGAGAAGGTGGCAGAGATCTGCGGGGTATTCCTGAGGCCAAACAGCAGCATGTTCTAAGTGGGGAAGGAGGTGGGAGTCAAAAAAACTGGGCTCTAGTCTGGATGATGGATGGATGATAGCGCCCTAGCTAAGGACCCGAGGAGGGGACGTTCTGAATTCAGTCCTTCATTCGACACCTGTGTGTCACATTCAGGGGGGGAGGCATGGTGCTGGGCATGGGAGACAGAGAATCTGCTCCCAGGGAGCTCACAGTTCACAGAAGGACAAGGAAACCCCACGTGCTATATTGTAAGTGCTCTGACCAACAAGTACACAGGCACCTGGGCGCACAGGTGCATTCTGGCCAGGAAGGGAAAAAGGTTAGAAAGGAAAGGTGTCAGGCACATCTCGGACTTGAGGTCAGTCTTAAAAGCCAGGAAGACCATTTGGCAGGGGAGGGGGTGGGTGGGGGTGTCTGGCAGCAGGAATGGCATAGAAAGAAGAGCCAAGGAGTGGCTGATGCTCAGTTCACGAACCTCTGCTGCGCTGTCACAGGGAGCCACAGAAGCATCTGAAGCCAGGGAGGGAAGGGCAGTTCGGATGTGATAAATGTAGCTGTAGGGTGGTGCAGGGATTGAAGGGGACACCTCCCTGAAGACAGTAAGACCATTTAGGAGAATGCTGCAATAGCTCAGGTAAGAATATGCATCTATTCAGACACTACAGAGGTTTTTAACTTATTTATTTATTTTTTATTAGCCAATAGTTGGAAACATAGCAGATCTTTCTAAGTAACCTGTCTCTGCTTTGTTAATGCCTGAGAAATGCGAAAAACGTATAATGGAGTACTCCATTCCCACCGTGTGCAAAGGCACATCTGACAGTGAAAAGATCAGATGTGACTCCAGGCCTGCTTAAAATGCTGAAGACAGCTTAGACTGCCACTTCATTCTAGCACTTAAGCCAAATAAAATTTAAAATCTCCCCCAACCAGCCACAATCAGCAAAACTGCGCACATAACTTTCCTCTAGTTTGCCTTGCCCTTCCTCTTCCTAAAACAGGTACGAAGGGCATTTGCTATATCAGAATACAGCAATTTACTACGTGGTTCGATTTAAAATATCTTTTATGAATATTTATCATTTATCGAAAGCATAAACCTGGTTTTTAAAATATAATGAAAAACTACATCTTACTAATAAGTACCTCTGTTTTTAAAAATAAAACTGTATCAATCTAATTCCACAGATCTAGGTATAAAGTATTTAAGGAACAATGTTAAGTAAACCAAGAAAACATAACTTAGTGAAAAAAGTTGAATGAAAACATTGGGAAATAATACTACATATATATAAATAAACCCATCAAAGAGGAGTCAGGAAAGTTTTCTTTTTTTAAAATTAAAAACAAAACACCTAAGTCTTTAAACCTGAGAAACCAATGACCCTGACCCAGCTGATGTGAAAGCTTGGTGCTGCTGCTGATTCTGGCAGCACTAACCAGCTGTTCCCGCTAGCCTCTGCTGCAGGAAATGCCGAGGCAGGAGGAAGGGTTTCTGGCTGGGAGGAGAACCCATGTGATGGTCATGTGGTGTGAATTAAAAGCCAGTTACAGCCTTTTGGAATGCAAAACCTACTTAGCTTTGGCAAAACGTAGTTTTCTGGCTCAAAAGACAAAACACGTAAGAGAGCGCTTGAACATCTCCAAGCAAATGACTCTGACAGATATGGAAAGGCAGAGCAGAGACCCCTGGGAGTGGCAGGGACACAGTCCCTTAAGTCTTGGTGTTCTTATACCTTAAACAGAAAACAAATCATTTCACGACAATATTTAAATTGCTGAACAGCAAACAAGTTCAGATATAAGCCCAGTAAAAAAAATTTTTCTATTTTCTTCAATTCTGAATAATTAGGAAAAAATACGAAGACATACAATATAAATAGGGCTTTAAAAAATTGACAAAGTATGTGCCCAGTTTCTTTCTGCATGTCATACCAAAGAAGCAAGCAACATTACAAATCAACACAATTCGTTTGGTCAAAGAATTAGTTCCAATTAGTAAGCTATAGTTGCATTATACATTTTAGCTTGCAAATCTACATCTCTGGCCTGACCTCTGGGTGATTGACATCCTAGCCATCACACACACACACACACACACACACACACACACACACACACACCGCTTCCTGTGTTTTCCCAACTATCCACACTGATGTTCAATTCAAAGACCTGGGCATTACTCTTGATTCATCCTTTACCCACCCGACCACTTCACATCCAATCAATTTCTGATCCGTGCACTAAATACCTCTGAAATTCATCCACTTCTTTCCATTTCTACTGCCACTAACCTAGATCAGGCTACCATTCCCATGCTTAGTATTAAGGGTTTGGGCTCTGACTTCAGGCTTACTTGCTCTGCCATGTATTCATGGGATGGACTTGGACAAGTTACTCATCAACACAATTCTTAATCCTCTAGCCCCGTGGTCGGCAAACTGCGGCTCGCGAGCCACATGCGGCTCTTTGGCCCCTTGAGTGTGGCTCTTCCTAAGCCTTAGGAGTACCCTAATTAAGTTAATGACAATGTACCTACCTATATAGTTTAAGTTTAAAAAATTTGGCTCTCAAAAGAAATTTCAATCGTACTGTTGATATTTGGCTCTGTTGACTAATGAGTTTGCCGACCACTGGTCTAGACCTATATAAAATGGGGATAAGAATAATACCCACCTCACAGAGTTGTTGAGAATTTAAATGAAATGATCCATGTAAAAGTATTCAATAAACCTCAACTCTCACCATCATCCTCCTTTTAGGTGCCCAGCACAATTCCGCTGGGTCCCCTTCTCTCCTAGAACTAACACTCTGAAGTAATTGTTCTGTCTCCCAGCCCAACTGTAAGCTCCTAATGGCAAGGACTGAGTCCACATATGACATGAATAAATGACTAATAAAACAATGATGATAATAATAATGATTACATAGCATATTAAGAGCTATCTATATCTATCTATCTATCTATCTATCTATATATATATATATATATATATATAAAAGCCAAGCGACCAGAACGACTGGAACGACCAGTCACTATGACGTGCACAGCAGTGGCCAATCGGCCCAATAGGGACCCTGAAAGGCCCCTCCCCCCAGCCATCCCTGCCCCTGATCCGCCCTCCCCAACCCCCATCCGGGGTGGGGCCGGCCAGCCAACTGCCCGAGGCTCCCTCCCCTCACCCGCCCCCCCCCCGACCAGCCCGCCCTGATCGGCCCCCATCGAGGTGGGCTGGCTGGACCCCACCCGTGCACAAATTCGTGCATCGGGCCTCTAGTATAATAATGACTATACATGAGTATTAATATATATTGTTATTATGCACTGAATGTGGTATTTCTTTAGAGATCATCAGTGAGGAAAAGAAACATTAACATGTACAGCATTCAATCAGCAAAAAAAAATCAATAATCAAAAGCATCAGTTGCCATAACATTTTGATGTGTAACATAATGAACTTTATTTTTAAGTAACTCTCAAGTCTTCTCTTGAAAAGTAACATACATGGGCACTTCTTGATCTTAAAAAGATTCACTTTTGCTACTCAGCAATTTATTTTCCATGGTTTTGCAAGCCAGAGATAGTTGTTCCTCAAAACAAAGAAGCCACCAATAGTTTCAGAACTGTGACTCAAGTCTTTTCAGAGGAGCGCTTGAAAAAACATCTTTACCCACCCGCACTGACATCTAAGACTGCCTACTTATGAGATAGACAAAGGGCATGTTTCATAATACTGAACCCACTCATTCACAAGTAGGAAGAGGAGACTCAGATGTTTCCCTTTGGGGTTGAATTTTTAAAAAAATTGAAAGAGTGATGTGGTCCCTTTCTACTAGTTACAGAGAAATCACCCTCTTTTTTTCAGCAATGAAAACAGATTGTCCTCAGTTTTTGAAGGTGGACAGAAGTGAGAAAAACAAATCTGATTTTATTTCAAAAATTTAAATGGTGTTTTACTTCAAATTTCTCAACCCCCTGAGGGAAGTTCCAGATGAGGGCAGAGGGCCCCCACTCTGCCTCTCGGGTGAGGAGCAGCAGGATACCTGGGCTCCGTAGACGCGCTGCATGGCCTGGAGCAGCTGGTTGGTATAATCCGTGAGGGTGCCAGCATCTTCTTCAAATACACTCAGTAAAGAGCGAGTCTGCAAGGAATGAAGAGAAGAGAACAATGTTATTTCTAAGTGGAAAAGTTACAAAGGAGGTAGAAAACACATACCCAGAAATCGGGGGAGAAGGTGCCTGCTCTCTGACTTTATTCTTTTAGGTACTAGTACAAGTTGATTCCTAAAGTTTTAATTTAGGACTCCTTTTCTAATCCTTTAGACCACAGAACCGGGGCAAACAATACAATTTGAGTATTGGGGCCAGCAAAGGAAAGCCAGTTTTTTAAAGATTAAGACTCAGGGCTATTATCTGTCTCTACCTCAGCACCAATAAGTCTATCCAATTAAAAAAAAAAGTGTTAAAAGGGCAGCCTCTCCCTTCGAGCCCATAAATTGAACAGCACGTCAGGCCTGTCTGTGCACCCAGGGCGTGGACACCAGCACTGCATCACCAGCAGCTAACCATCTGTCTGGTTTCTGCTGTCTTGGACATCTTGCAAGAGGCTGTCACTCTTTCCCCTTACAGTACTACAGTCAATTTCCATGTCTTTCGTCATACATTATCCAACCAATTTTCAAACTCACAGCCAGGAAATTTTGTGTACCCTGGGTCCACCAGTGGTAGATCTGGGCACAAAACTCAAACAGCAACTTAACAAGAATTCTAGTTCAGTTTCTTCGGGAAGACTAACTACTCAGTGTTCCGGGAGCGGGGGAGCAATGTCATTGGTGAAAGGTATCTCCTATCCGACACACGCTGAGCAGTAAGGACGTAGTTATACATTGGATGGTGTCTGAAAAAGTACCAAGGCCGCAGGTAAGAGACCATATCTACTCAAGGGACTTCTGTTAATGTGCCCAGCAGAGTAGGAATGTAAAATACCACGTTAATGATCATGGGATCTCTATTTCAGAAAACAGACCTAGAATGGACAGTAAGTTATGGAAATGCCTTTATGAGGTGATAGCAAAGCACTTTACAATGAACAATCCATGAAAGCTTATTATTTCCCTACAAATAAGTTCCAAGTCCTTCTTTCTTCTTCTAACCTATCTCTGGTAAGAGAGCAATGACTGACCTCAAAGCACCTCAATAAACTGGAGCAGAAACCTAGGCACTTGGAGAGTTTGTTCCACAAACTCTGGTGCCCTTCACAGCAGTACACGCTTAGCCTGGCTTTGCCCCAGGTAATCACTGAGGCTAAAAATACCTGCTCTGAGACCACTGTACTCTCTCAGGACAATCCTTATCCACAGGACCAGAATGCAATGAATAAGGAAAATGGAAGACCGGTTTTTTTAAAAGCTCTCAATGAGATCAAAATATCACAGGGTGCAGATAGTGTGTAATTTGTCTGCTAAAACAGAGTTCTTCAAACTTTTTACAATTAAAATCCACAGTACAAAACACATTTTACCAAAGAATATCATTAGTATGCATACACACAGACTTTTTTCTATTCCATTCTGTTCTGTTCCACTTGTAAATAAAATCTCGGTGTGTCCTACTGGATCTAATCATCCATTAATGGATATCAACCAGCAGATAAAAAACATTGGTTTAGAATTCTTCATTCCTTTTCTTTAAAGTATACTTTTTATTTTGGGGGGAAAAACGATTGTTACAGGACATTCTTAGAACCTACACTGGATGGTCTATCACTCTCTATTCATTCATTTACACATGCAGCTCTGCCTTCATCCAGTATCTGGTGAACCATTGTGCTGGGAACTGAGACTCAAAGGTGATGAGAACCAACTCTACATTCTCCAGGAGCTTAGTCTGCTGGGGCCTCTCAAAGGATCTGGGATCAACTTGGGACCCTATCAGTCCTGGATCCAAATTTGCAGAGTTAATGAGATAATGAGTGCACATAAAGCACCTAGCAGTGCCTGACATATAGTGATAGCAAACGATACTGATGATACAAAAGATAATGAATTTTCACTGCTTATTATATTCTGGACACTAAAGGCTTTACATGTATGATTTCATTTTAACACTACAGCAACACCGTTATGTAGGCAGCTGTCCATAAATGCCATCTAATAGTAGAGGACCTTTCCCGGTGCCAGTGCTGTAGGAGCCCACCAATGTTATGATTCTGATATCTTTCTTTGCTATAACTAATATGTCTAGGAGAATGGGAAGGAAGGAGAGGGATACAACTGGATTGGGGAGATTTAATTTTTTTACTACAACTGACATCCATTTAGTTGCGTCCTATTTATTGTTTTCAATACTTTTAGGAATAAAATAGAATGGAAAATGGGAAGTAAGATGAAAAGAGAGAACTTCTGTAAATATCCTCCACGAAGAGAATAGAAAGAAAACTAGCTACATGCGCCCGACCAGGAACAGGGTAGGAGGAGCCTGCAACCGAGGGAAGGGAACATGAAATTAAAAATGGCGGCAGAGTAAGTGGATGCTGCATGGACATGCTCCCAGGAACAAACTGGTATTACAACTAAAATACAGGAAAACTTTCTGAATAATCAACGGAAAACTCGCAGGAGAGAACCTTGACACCCGAGGAGCGAAAGTGGAGACCGCATAGAGACTGTATCCTTAAAATTGTTTTCCTTGAAATATTGTTTATTGCATGTAACATTATTATACTTAAAATCGTTTTTCTTGAAAATAAAAAATAAAAACAGGGAGAGAAAAAAAATATAGAAAACTAAAACTACCATTTACTCTGTACCTATGTGTCAGACGCTGTGCTGAGCACTAAATATTTGTTACTTCATTTAATACTTCCAACAACTTAACCGAAGTAGATGAGAACCAACCCCACTTTACAAATAATGAAACTGAAATTCATCAAGGTTAGGAAACTTGCTCAACCTCCCAGGGCTGGGAAGCAGCAGGGCTGGGATGTGAATCCCCGTGTGGCTGGCCCCAACCGCCATGCTTCCTCCACTGTGGGAGGCTGCATCTGTCCCCAGCAGGGTAAGTTCTACTTTGGTCCACATCTCACAGTCCTGCCTGAAGGCAGGATAAAGGCTGTCTGGCTGGCTTCTCTTTGGTCGGCTACTGTCATGCTCTCACCTATGATAACTGCCAAGAACCATATCGCAAGTGTTGTTTTTCTTTCTTTGGACATATTTACCATGACACCCATTAAAACTGACAAGAAAATTCCAATCTTCCCTTTGTAATTTAACTAGCCATGATCTCCCCTAGAAAAAAATAATATCCCCAGCTATCTCAGACACTTTTTGGATATTAGGCAACATAGTAAAAAGCTAAGAAAATTCCTTGGCAAGCAGAATGGGGAAAACAGACAGATGGCTGATTTAAACTGGCCCCATCCAGCACCCTGACTCACCTGCTTCTTTCTCCTTTGCTGGACCACTCCCTTAAGCATTAAGCTCGCGGGACAATCAGGTTCTGATCAACATTAAATAACCTTAGGAGCAAAGCCTCATGTCTGTTGACCATAGAGACAGAGTTTTGGTCAAACTAGAGATAACATCTAGGCCTCACTTATGTTTCAGCTCCCCGCCCAGAAAAGAAGCAAAACCAGACAAAGCAACACCATGACTGACATTAGGACCAGATACAATGACTAGTGACCCCCTACCCTAGTGCCAACCAATCAGTAGAGACCATGACCCTGAAAAAACCCACCTGGAAAGTTGATGAATATTTCTTTGAGATCCTCCCTTGAGACTTCTCCTAAAATCCCCCCTTTTGGAAAACACATAAAAACCCTTAAGGCAAAGGACCAGTGCCCAGGCCTTCCCCACCCCCCTCCTTTCCTCAGCATGTATCTTTGCTTCCCTTCTCCTAAGCTCTAAGGGCCCTTCTTTTGCCTCTGTGACTTGTTTCCCAAGTCCACACAGCCCAGCTGGCTCACTGCTTCTGCCTCTGTGACTTTCTTTCTAAAAGGTTAGTCAACTTCTTGTGCTAGAGTTCTTGACCCTGAATTCTTTCTTTGCAGAACACAAGAACTAAGGTCTAACACTACCACTAACAATACCATTTACCAGCTCCACATCTGCTTAAACTTGTATGTGGAACAGGAATGTTCTGAGGCATAAGGAAGGAATGAGACCAACGACCAGGCAAAGATACACCAGTTGTTCAAAAATCCTACAAAAATATCAGAAAGACATTGGTGCATATCACTTATAAAGACAATAACAGCAATCATTTATGGAGTTACAATGACATGCAAGCATGAAGACACTTTACTTATGCTATTTATTCTTCAGAAGAATTCCATTAAGTACCTATTTTTATTCTAACTTTAGAGGTGTCAAAACACAAGCTAAGAGAGGTTGAGTAACTTGTCTAAGGGTAACAGTGGCAGAATCAGGATCTGAATTCCATCCTTTTTCTACTACCCTATACTCTCAAGAGTATGCCTGGCCAGAAACACAAAACCTGACACCCTATGGACACAGCCTCAGCTCCACATCATCCCTCTATCTTATAGGAACTGGGTGTTACCTAATAAAATAATCCTAGACATTTTTTACTAAAGAATAGCCATATAATTACATAATGGCATAATTTTAATAGCTCTGATTATAAAATATATGTATATACAGTGGGGCTTTGATTTACGAGTGTCCCGGCTAACGAGTTTTTCGAGATACAAGCCGTCTCTCGGCCGATTTTTTGCTTTGAGTTGCGAGCTAAAATTCGGGTTATCAGCCAGCTTCAAATACCCCACCACTAGTTGGCGCAGCGAACGGCACAGTGAATGCCACAACATCAGCCCAGCATCACATGTCTCACTCGTTCACTTTTTGATTTGACGTACGAGTAATCTGAGTTATGAGCTCCGTCACGGAATGAATTAAACTCGTAAGTCAAGGCCCCACTGTATTTAAATTATATATGTAATTATTTTGTAATGTGAAAACAATTAAAGCTCTTATACCTAACATTTGGCAGAGGGAGAGAATGGTCTCAGTAGAACCTTGTCTACTGAAAGGAAATGTACTATAAACAAAGAGAAGAGTGGGAGAGGGAGGAAACCCCTCCACAATGAAGACATAACCACCATGTTGTGTTCTGAGGCATCTTGCTTGACTAAAGACAGGCCTGGTTTGGTTAGAGAGGGCTATTCCCAGCTGGACTACTCACTGCATAATCTCAGAACTAAGCCTTTTATCTCTCTGTGCTTCGATTATGCCAACTGCTAAGGAAACAAACAAACAAAAAGTTAAAACCAAACAGCAAGCAATAGTGCTTTTGTCTTCTCCTTATCTCAAAAGTGGACTATTTACACAAAAGAGAATAAGCCCCCGAAGAAGTATGGGCTGCATCACTCAACGCTGCATTTGTGTTCCTATCACAGCAGTATGCACACTGTACTGGAACTGCTGCTCTCCTTATCTGTCTCGGGAACAGACTGTGAGGCCACGGAGGGCAGGCACACTTATCTCATTTGTCACTACTCCCCAGCATCTAGCAGTGCCTGGCGAGAAGCAGAGGGTCACTAGCAAACAGCAATGGAGACAAGCATCTCAATGCCTAAAACTCTCCATGTCATGCATCAGAAGTAACCAGAAATAATACTAGTACCAGCCGTATGAGACATCGTGCGGTACTAAAAAGGAGGACTTTAGTAGATGTGGTTAAGGTCTGGCAACTGCTATTCATCTCTTCCTGGGTCACTATGTTCAAATACAAAAGCTTTTGTGTTCATTTAATGAATCCTGTGCAACCAGGTTACTGGAGCAACCCTCATAACTACTCAACAGGAAACTAGAGGAAACAAACAATAGGTGGTTTCTTAGGATCTTTTCCTTTCAGTGAAACAACATTTTAGGTCACTGATGACAGAAAAGCCAGGTGTTAGGTAGCTGGGCTAATGTGAACAATACAGGCAGACTGCTTGGGTTCCAATCCTGACTCTGCCCCTTGATAGCGTATACTCTTGAGCAAGTTATTTAACTTCTCTGCTCCTTGGTAATTTTAATAGAGCACCTACTTCAGAAAATGGTTGTTGGGAGGATTAAGTGAAATAATATACGTAAAGCATTTAGAACAGTGATTGGCATGTGTGATATAGGTGTTTGCTATTGTTTTTATTCTTTACACATAAAACAAAGGAGCTGGATTAGATTCCTTCCAGTTTCAAGTCTATGAGTTTCCTTGGGAGTAAAGCTGCACCAGCCACATGCCCCATCCAAAAATGTTAAATAAATATGCTTTGATGATTACCAAAGACCTTCTTGAAAGTTAGCATCCATTCAACAACCTCACCAAGAAACCTAGTGGGGTGACACCCAAATCTCAAAAGCAATGACAAATTCCCTACATGAAGAGGAACATTAAATAGGAATGACAATGCCTCTAAACCTCCTCCTCCACATACAAGCTCAGAGTTACAAACCATGGAGATGCAGTACAATTTTAAGCTTCTAAAGCCCCTTAAAGATCATCTGCTCCATGTCCCTCGTTCTGCAGATCAGAAAACTGAGCCAGGATGGAGATATACTAAGTGACTTGCTCAAATCACATGAGCCAGAATTAGGACCCAAGTCTCCTGTCTTGTTTGCCAGGCCTCTTTCTACTTACTGCCAGCTGAGAAAATCCTGTAAACCACTCAAAAATAGTGGCTTGTGAGAGACAAAAATTCAGGTAACAAACATATCAGTGAGAGCAACAGTTAGTGCAACCCCTCGAAACTGGCTCAGCCATCACCATGCTCAGTTAGGAAGGCAATGCATCCTTGCACCTCTGTTTCTCCAACTTCAAAGCATATGAAAATCCTTGTTCAAAATGTTAGTTAGACAATCTACACTACTGTCTTCGACCCCACGCAATATGTGTGAGGACGGACGAAATGACTTCTACCAAGGGCTTTGGTCCCAGCACATGCCAGACGTGTGGAGACTTCAAAGGGGCCTTTGAAAAGTCCATCAGACCAGCAAATTAAAAAGACGGAATCACAGCTTGCTTACAATGCCTCACAAAGAAATGGGCACAAGGCAACGAAGCCCAGACACACAGCCCCTTTGATGACGTATTCTGAACTGGAGCGATGCAGGGTGGCTGTAGGTTAAGCCCACAGGATCACCCCGGGACTACAATTCACTGAGAAGGAAAAGGAAAGGACCCAAAAGACAAGAGAAACTGGGAAAGGAAAAGAGGTCAATCTCATTCTAATTTTTCAGGAGTTGGGACTCCAGGGAACAGACTTATTTAAATAACCAGGGAGGCAGAAGCAGGGGAGTAGATATGAAGCTGGGAAATGTTAATGGAGAAGAAGAGTTCCCTGGGTGAAGGCGCACTGAATCGCGAGCGAATGCCATTCTTCTGCACTCATCTGCTGGGGCGCACGCACACACCAGCCTTCACCTGCAGAGCTCAGAGGACCTGGCTCTCATCTCGGGGCGCTAATGAAGTCCTCCTGCGAGACAAATAGGGCTGCTATGGTTAATGTTCTCTTCACAAATGGGAAAGCCGCGCCAAAGGGAGGCCTGGTACCGCGGGGGAGAGCCAGGCTCTGCCTCCCACTCCGGCCCTAAACCCACCAGGTCCCATGACATCGCTGAGAGTAGAGACGATAATAATAGAGGCGACTCCTCACTAACAATGCACCAGGCACTGTCTTTAACAACTTTACAGGCGTCTCCTTATTTACTTGTAACAATCCCGAGAGGCGGGTGTAATTATGTCCCTATTTTACAGATGGCAACACTGAGGCGCCGGGAGGTTAAGTTCTGTGCCCGCGGCACTCGGCTAGTCCTCGGCGGAGCGCGAGTCCAGGCCGGGCAGCCTCGGGTTCAGGGGACTCTGGAAAGGGGTCAGGACACAAAGGCTCGGGCCTCGGGTGGGGGGCTTGCCCGGGTCCTCCACTCAGCCAGGGGGGACGCCCCCTCCGGGGACACCCGGGCTCAGGACGCAGGGCCGGGCCCGCCCCCCTCGCTCCCGAGGGGGCCCTGGGAGCACTCCCAGCCTCCACCCCGGGGCGGCCGGAGGGGCCTCCTCGGCCTCAGCCGGCGGGCGAGGGGGGCCGGGCGGCGGGAGGTACCTGGGGGCTGTCCTGCAAAGCCTCCTCCAACAGCAGCTTGTCCACGGCGGGCATGGTGCCGCACGGCGGGGCCGAGGGCCGGATGGAAGGACGCAGGGCAGGAGGCGCGGCCGCCGAGGCTGCTCCCGGCTCCGGAGACCAGGCGGACGCTCTGTGCCCGCGACCGCCCCGCGCGCGCCACGCCTGCACAGGGGCCGCCGCCGCCTCCCGGACCTCCCCCCAGCCCTCTCCTCCCCTCCATTCCTCTCCCCTCCCATCCCTTACCCCCCCCCCGCCCCCGCACGGAAAACAGGAAGTGTGGCGAGCGCCTTGCCGGACACCGGAAGTGTGGCCAACAGCGGGCCGGGCACCGGAAGTGTGGCGGCCCCTTCGCTGCGCCCTGCGTTGCGGGAAGCCGCAGACCCGCCGGCGGCCCCGCTGCCTCTTGAGCGCCTGGGGCGCTGGTCTCCGCGGTTAGGGGCCCCTTCCGTATGCCAGGCAGTGCAGAGAGCCCGAGAAGGGAACCGAGGGCGGAAGATAAGGCCTTATCTGCTGTGGCTGCCCAGGAAACCTTTATATCCGAGGAGCTGGGAGCGAACAGATTTTGCTGCTGTGACTCGCCACTTTTTTTTTTTTTTTTAACGGAAGGAAAACCCTCCACTTGCACACTTTTTCTAGTTAAATCTCAGTGCCCCCCGAAACAGCTCTGAGGACAGAAGGGTCACCTAGTTTTCAGATAACTGGAGGACTTAGTCATTTGTGGTAATCAGACGTAATCGTTTGTGGGGGGGGCGGCGGGGGGGACCACAGCAGCTGGATTTGAGCGCTATGATTAGGTCTCATCCTCGTGGCTCATGTGTTGTCATTTTGAAAAATTTCATAATCAAGTGTGCCCATACACTGAAATGTTGCGGGTTCAAACCCAGCTGAGACACACATGGAAAGGCAACTGATCAATGTTTCTCTTTCACATAGATATCTCTCTCTCTCTCTCTCTCTCTCTCTCTCTCTCTCTCTCTTCCTCTTCCCCTCTTCCCCTCTCTTTAAAACCAGTAAGTTGCCCTGGCTGGTTTGGCTCAGTGGGCAGAAAGTTAGTCTGCAGATTGAAGGGTCCTGGCTTCGATTCCGGTCAAGAGCACATGCCCAGGTTGCGGGCTCCATCCCCAGTAGGGGGCATGCAGGAGGCAGCTAATCAATGATTCTCTCTCATCATTGATGTTTCTATCTCTCCCACTCCCTTCCTCTCTGAAATCAATAAACATATAAAATAAAAAAATAAAACCAATAAGCACGTCCTTGGGTGAGGAATATATTTTTATATATTCTAATAGGGGTATGTATATATCCCTATTAAACTATTGTGAGGGTGGATTTCAAACATTCACCCAACTGTGTCTGAAATCGCTGGGTGGCTGTGAGGTTGGTGACAGGAAGTACAACCATGGGCAATTTAGAGCTGCCGTATCCTTTGGCGAGAGAAGGGATGAACTCTATGGAGCTGTAACCTCTTACCCATTGAAGACTATTGGGGAGAAGGATGCAAGCTCTTTCCATAGACACCTATCTATGTGTTCTGGAATAACCAGGACTTTTTTAGTGACAAACAGAGAGGCAGGCTTGAGAAAAGGTCACGGAGAGCTTTGCTCAAGTTTTGAAGCCTTGGGCTCAGTTTGTTATCACCTCCTTGTAACTCTGTTAGGAATTAAGTCTTAAATTTCCATTTGAACTCATAAAACAAGACAAAGTGTAGAAAACTAAGGTTTAAACTTCTGCAAAATTAGCATCCAGGCCCTCTGGTGCCCGTGACTTTCAAAGTGGGAATAGTCAGAGCCTGGGAAACGCTCCAGAGAACTCATCGTCTGGTACTCATTGTTGTTGGTCATGAAGCAGGAAACTTGGAAGTTCAATAGCATGAATGTCCCTAAATTTGAAGTCCTGAGTTTATAGAAAGGAAAGTAAGAATACAGAACAGATTAGGAACAAAGTGTGGCATCGTGGAGAGATGATTGACTTTGGAGTTAGACACACCTGCATTCGAGTTGCGGCTTGCTAGCCATGAGAGGTTGGGCAGTTCTCTAGCCTTCCTGAGCCTTGGTTCACTTCCCCAAGGTATGGGAATACTATCTATCACAAGCTGTTTCCGTGGGCATGTGGCACGGGTCCTGTATTAACCAGGACTCTTTCAGTCGAAAGTGACCGAGCCCTAACTCCAATTAGCTTAAGGAAAACATAAAAGGCTGGGAGAGGGTGGAGGGGAATGAGGAGAGGCTGGGTTTCTTAGATCTTGTTACCTGGAGGGCAGAATGAAGGGGGATCCAGGAACTCAAAGTCACTGGGCTCACTGCTCATCCTCTCTGTATTGGCTTCACTCTGACCTGAGTCTCAGGCTCACTAGAAGCAGGGTTGTTTGGCAATTGCAGACTCACTTCTGGTGCTGGGACACCTCCCAGCTTTAGTTTGAAAAATCCTAGGGAAGGGCTCTGATAATCCTGGTTTAGGAAATCTATCTGCCCACTCCTTGGACCATTAGCTGTGGCCAAGAACCAGGATGAGCCCCAGCCCAGGTCAGAGCGACACCCTTGAGGCCAAAGGAGGAGGGGTCTGTTATCAGAAAGTGTAGTGAGAAGCACTGCATGGACCAAGCATGAGAAGTCTACCCCAGGTCCCAGACCAACCTTTACCTTCAACCCATCCCTCCTCCCTCACCCATCCCACAGTCTCTCTTCCTCCTACTCCACATCTCAGTGGATGGCAACAGACAGGGGCTGAAGCCAGAAATCTGGGAGTCAAGCTATATTCTTCCCCCTTGCTTACCTCTCCTATGGAATGAATCACTGGCCCTAGTACTCTGCCCACCAACTCCTTGCGCATCCCTTTCTCTCCATCCCCCTGACCCTGCTCTCACAGAGACCTCATCAACCTTTCTCCTTGTTATCTCTCTTTCTCTTGTAACTTACACACTCTGGTAAGAATTGTTTTTCCAAAATAAAATAGTCTTGTAGTGTGTCTTCCTTGCTCAACAGTTTTTATTTCTTGTTTTTTTTTGCTTTCTTTAATCCTCACCTGTGGACATGCTTATTGATGAGAGAGAGAGAGAGAGAGAGAGAGAGAGAGAGAGAGAGAGAGAAAAGAAGAAGAAGAAGAAGAAGAAGAAGAAGAAGAAGAAGAAGAAGAAGAAGAAGAAGAAGAAGGAGAGGAGAGGAGAGGAGAGGAGAGGAGAGGAGAGGAGAGGAGAGGAGAGGAGAGGAGAGGAGAGGAGAGGAGAGGAGAGGAGAGAAACATCCATTGATTACCTTCCCATACTGACTGGGAATTGAACCTGCAACCTTTTGGTGTATGGGACAATGCTCCAACCAACTGAGCCACGCTGGTGAGGGTGGGAGATTTTTTAATGGCTCCGCATCAAAGCCAACTACATAATTTCTGGGACTCAGTGCAAAATGTTTAGAAAGCAAGGAGAAATGCCATTAAATGTATTAAAATATGAAACTTCCTCCTTTCCATTTTTTTTTGTAGTGTCTCTCTCGACTTGTCATGGTGTTCTTATTTGCCATTTTATGTGAAGAAAAATTCAAATTATAAATTATGGCACAAACTTTATTGTCCATTTTTATATTGTGCAATGCCAGTTTTAAATGCAAATATGGGAGCCTTTAACTCATACGTGATACAACTTGTACTTTGTAGCCCATTGCACAAAACGAACCCAACTGTTTTATCTCACTTCTTAGTATGCACACATACTATCAATAGTCGGTGGGAGCTGGTGGCTTCCATAATATGCTTACCTTGTACTTGCTCAACTCCCACCCATAATAGGTCTGCAGGGATGCAGTGCTCTCGGGCCTTCATGAATCCCACATGTGAATGAAGCAGCAAGATAATGCATATTACAAATACCTTCTCTGCTCATGGGCTGGCTTCATTGTCCCATTGGACTTTCCTTACAAAACAAACACTCAAAGACAAAATTATTAAGAATTTTAAGACAGCCAACAGCAGAACAGTAAAGCAAGCACAGGGCCCTTCTGAGCATGGGGTACTGTGGGACTGAGCAGGTCACATGTCCATGAAGTTGGTCCTCCTTCCTACTTTCTAGAAGGTGAGTTCAAACTACTTCAAATGAAATACCAGACCCTATATGATGGAGTGAGGCCTAGGCCTTATCTCTTTCCTTTCTCAATGTACTCTTCCACTTTCTTTGCCCCCTGAATTTTTCCTCCTGCAAGGATGAACTTCTCGTCATCTTCTCTCACACCCTTCTCTTTGTCTGAAATGTCTGAGATCCTCTGCTCATCTTACAGTTTCAGTTCAAAGGCTGCCTTGAAAGTCTGTAAAGACTGCCTTGACTCTCCCAGGGAGACTGAGATCTCTTCTCCGATGTTGCCTGCAGTCCGGTGAAGCCTGCATATTGCATGGTCATCGCCATTGCTCATGTGCCTGTCTCCCCAACACTGTAAGCTCTTCAGGGGCAGGAACTATCCCTTTACTGTTTTGAGTTCCAAGTGTCCAGCAGAATGTCTGGCAAATGATAGACCTTGTTCAATAAAATCCCTGTGAAGTGAATGAAAGAATGAAGCAATGCCTGGCATACAGTAGGCATTCATTCATTAGTTGATTCTTTCAAAAATACCTACTGAGTGCCTACTATGGAATGGGCTCTGGGTCATGTCTTTCCTTCCTGAAACAAATACTTAGTGTCTCCTGCATGTCAAGGCCTATGTTAGGAGCTAGGAACTCATTGGGAAAAAGACAGGCAGGGTCCTTTCCTTCTAAGACCTTAACACTCTCCTTGGCTCTCAGCAAAAGTCATTTACTTCCTCCTCCTTTCCCTGTGCCTCCCAAGAGGTAACTGAATCAGTCATACATATTTTAAGACTTTCTCTGCTTCCACCTTCTGCTCAGGATTCTCTTTCTCTGCACCATTCTCAGGTACCACAAGATGGATGTTTGATCTTGCCAGAGTCATTTTGTTTTGTTTTCTTTTGTTTTTCAACCACTGCAGAGGTCAACATAGAATGAACACAAAACCAGCCCTTAGACCCTGCCAGCTTGGGCCTTCTTATGAAATTATTCCAGAGATTATTTCACTTAGACTCAAGAAAGTCACTAAATGCAGACTACTGTTTTCAATCTCTTCCCCCTCACCTAATTGTTTCTCTCACAAATTTGAGGTTTATTTCCTTGTAG